GGGGGGGGGTCGGGGGGGTGGAAATTAAGGAAGGAGAAGCTTTGTTGCCACAGTGGAAGGGGAATCACATTTCTCAAAGGGACAGCAAGCGGATGGATGGAGAGCGAGAGCTTTCGCTCCGCTTAATGCCTGCCGACAAGTTTTTATTTAAACTAAACTTGTTAAGGTGTTGTCTTAATAGGCTAAAATTCCACAGGGTTCCCCCAGGTGGGTTTCTTCTGGGTAAATGGTGCATGTACTGTTCCTGATTGATCCCATTCCAGTAGTAGAGCTGGAGCGGTTTATACCCATCTGCTATAAATTGCATGCTTTCCGCTTCTTAACAGCCTATTTTCTGCAAATGCTAAGGGGGGTGGAAAAAAAAAAAAAATCCCAAAACATTTCAGCCTGAAAACCCAACAAACTATGTTATGAAGTAAAAGTCATTGCTCTGATGAGTTTGCAAGTCATCCAGTAGCTCCATGTATTAAAACACAGCTCTTTGTGTAAGCTTCTTCTGATCAGAATCAATGGGGATGCCTTTGCCTGAAGTGTGCTCTTTGCTATTCACCGCACTGAACATACAACAGGTTGCAAGTTTACTCTTATTAACTGCTTTCAAGTGCTTAGAAAGAGAAAGAAAATAAACTAGGAAGAGTACCGGCACTGTTTGGCGTGTAGGCTGCCTCTCAACACGATTTCCAAGCGTGAGAGGTTGCATTTAAAGCTCATTGCTATGCCTAGACTCTTCAGAAAGATATGACAAGAGAAGATACAGCAGAAAGGAAAACAAAACAACAACAAAAAAGGCAAGCATTTGAGAAAAAGACCTTATCACTTCCACACTAGAGGTTAACATCACCTTGGATGCATTAACACAGTTGCTTCTCAGACTGCAGCAGTTTTACTGATACTTCAGATGTCAGTGCATAAGGGGGAATATACCTTTATCTTCTTTTTTTGGGGGGGTGGGGGTGTTTTTGTTTTTTTAGTGTTTGGGTTTTTTTAGAGATGAAGACACTGGAGCAAGGACAGGGGAAAACTCAGGGTCACCCAGCTGGTCTGTGGTTCAACTGACAATACAGACCGCCTCTCCCACATCAGCATTTCATACGCCGCCCACTCAACACAGTCCACAACTGGGAAAAGATGCTTTTGCTTTTTTATGTTAAGAACTTTCCATGGCGTAAGAGAGAAAAAGACAACTCATTCGGACAACAGTGCATCCCCCACCAATAGATAACCTCCGAAATCCCTCATATCTCAAAGGCAAAGTTAAATATAATTCTAGCTTGTTTTGGCAAATTGGAATTGTTTCTCTTATTAAAAGAATTTGATTAGCTAAAGGTCAAAGAAAAGATTTGGTATAAGGGTGTGGGGGTAGGAGTGATGCACATGTGGAGGGGAAAACAGCGGGAGGTGGAGTATAAGCATTTTTTCCTCAAATCATGTCTGATTTCCGTGCAAACGAACTTCCTTAAAACATCTGTGTTCACTCAAGGTGATGGTATGCCTCTGTATTTTCTTTTGAGGAACTGAAAAGAAAATCCACATTTGCACTTGCAAATGGCAAAAGGCTTAAGAAAAAAAAAAAAAGACAATCTGTTTCATTTAGGTTATACAACATAATTGATCAGACTGCAAAGAATGCAGCTTGGTAAAACAATTAGACATTCAATTTACTGTATAAATTCAGCAGTTTCCACACAAACACTTCTACACTATTAAAACAAGCCTAATGATTTCCAAACTACTTCCCCCATCCTCCTGAAACAGAAACTGTTGCCTTTCCTTCTTTCTCAGCTTTCTATCTGCAAGACCTTATTACTACTTTCCTGTGAAATAATTATCTGTAAAAGACTGTGGCGATGGGCACAGTATAAAACTAATGGAGGCAATCCACTTTTTGCTCAAAAGTTGCCTGATCTGAACACAAAGGGCAAAACTCTCAGACTATTTGTAATTTAGGTGATATAAGTGATCTCCTCAGTTAAATTACCAACATACTAATCCCATCTCGGAATAGGATAGCTCTGCTTGTTGTCGTCTCTTGCTACATTACATATTAAATTCAGGTATAATCTTTCACACACATGGCTGTATGCATGAACCATAGGGGACACAGTTCTGTAAATTAAGAGTGCATTGTGCACACAAATGTATCACTTTTTTTTTTTTTTAACCACAACTGATTAAAAGCTTTCCTCCTCCTCCTGGTCAATATTTAGGTCTACACTTCTATATTGACTTCTAGTCTGGTAGAAGATTACACCACAGCTTTAGTTTTCACTTAAGACCGTTCTTTTGACTTACAGCCCTCATCTTTAGCTGCCAAACTTTTTTTTTTTTTCCCTTTTTTATTCATTTTGCAGAGAAATATTACCTGAGAACACTGCACAGGAAATTTGGAGGTAAATTATTTGTTTCACTTTATTAGGGAATCAAATGTTAAAGTTTCACTAAGAGGTGCTGGGCTTAGTCTTTTACCAGTAATTATGGAGTTGTGCTTTATTACTCAATCCACAGTTCATCAAATTATGATGAGTAAGTATCCTTAAATATATGTAAATACATATGAAAAAATCTGCGCAAAACACTACTATTTTTTCCCCTGCAGAATTCTTGAAAGCCCTTCACAGAAGAGATCAGGATAATTATCACAGAATACAGTAAGATGCATCTATGATTATTAGTTGGAAAGGAATTTCAGATGCTGCAGGTGTCAGGGAGACAATTAATAAGGTCTCATTCTGACTTATTCTACAGGCAAGTTTTGGTTGTCTGATTCTTCCTATAGCTTGGTAAAATTTAAATGAAAGGTTTGGACGCAGACATCGTAGATTTTACTGCTCCATCCCAACAGCATGGCCTTTAAAATTAAGATTGTTTCTTGTTTCCTGAAGGCATTCATCATAAAGATATTGGATGCACTCCAAACTCATAGCTCATGGTCTTAAGTCTAGCAGTTTTTGTAAAACCTCTTTCTTGAGGTAAATATGCGAAGAAAAAAACCCCAACATTTTGCAGCATCTCTTTTTCAAAACATAGCCCTTAATGCAGAAACACTCTCTAACAGCTTGGCATAAACAATTTAACTCTGCCTGGACAAATTCTGCACACGTTAACACCTTTGTTTATTAATATACATTAACATCCTCTCCTGTTTATAGCATGCCTCCTATCCCAAAGGACACAAAAAGCACTCAGTAAATGTTACTAACAGTTCTGTGCAGACTAAATAGAGGGATTATTTCATCCAGCACCAAAACACAGCCACCCCTCAGTGTTCAACCCTGGCAGCTGAATCACCCTACGCTGCAGTGTTTTAAGCTAGGAAGAGAAACTGGGTCCAGTTGAAAATCTAAGGAGAACGCAGGTAGGCTGAATGCAATAATTTAGCTTGGGATGTGCACTGACAGTGAGGGTTCATCCCGTGGTAGGAGAAGGGTGACACGAAATCACACCAACTGTTTCTTCACTAATTCAGAGGCAGACAAAGGTCCCAGGTGTTAGTGTTTAGTACCAGAGCTCCAACGCATTTCTTATTCTACATGTTCCATAGTCTCCACAGACACTTCAGGTCCTATTTCAAGAACAATATTTTACCTTGAAACCAAATTATGCCTGGGAGAAGAGCCACGTTCCAGGGGCTTAAGGCATCCATCCTACATGAAATCCTAGATCTAAAGGAATTAAGAGAAGTCTTTATTCCACAAAAGTTCAGCAGTCTGGATTATCAGACGTGACTCCCCCTTGTGCATCTCCTCAACTTCATTTAAATATTATATATATATATATATATTTTTTTTTTTCTTTTTAAGTGTCTAACCAACACAGTTTAACCTACATGGCCCTGAGGGAGCATAATGTATCCTAACTCTGTCCACAAATTGACCACAAAATTATTAATTAAGATCCAGCAAATTTTGCCTTTTCCTTAAAACCACGCGAATTATTTGAGGGCAGTTGGGTTGTACTGCTGTATGTAATGACCGAATATAACCCACCAACATTTTACTAACACATCCTTCTTACAATGATGTTGTGAAATCCAGAAATCTCAAAACTCAACTCGGAATTCATGGAGACAATAATCATGGCACCTCATAATGCTGTTTTGTCTACAGAATCCTTTTCCAGATTAGACTGCACTTGAACCCTTCATAAAATATTATTTATTGGGTGTCAAAAGTTTCTACACTGTACAAACAAGGCTTGTTATTATGCACTTGGTGTTTACCTATTCTCGCAATCGCTCTTTAAAATCTAGTATAATTTTTTCCTGTTTTGATGCTACAGAGAATTTGCTGTGCTTAAGGCAACAACAGCAATATTTTCTCTCCACATGGACAGCAAAAATAACTTGAAGGTAACTAACACATGTGGGCTTTCCCAGTGCTGAAGTCTTTAATAATAGAATAAGCATTTTGCTGATAATTTTTTTCCACACTGAACACCACCTGCCAGAAACCAGTAGGGGGGAAAAAAAAAAGTGTGGGGGGAAAAACTGAAAGAAGAATTGCTCCAGTATCAGGGAGACTGACCAGAGGCAAGCTGCAAACACTGCTACATTTCCCAACTCTAAACAGAATATCAGAAGTAATAAAAGTAACTGTGAGAATGGAAGGAACAGATTCATCTTCAGCCACTTCTCCATGTGATGAGCAATAGCATTCAGCCAGAAAACATTTCCTGCTCTGCAAAACCACAAACATTTGTAGAGCCAAAGGGCATTGTTCTTTTCAGTGAATAGTTTCAAAATATTTGAATGCTTAAAGAGAATGTTCTTATGAGTTACTGTTATTTAGTCAGCAAGTTGTGAAACGCTCGCCAGGTGAGAATGGCAAACAACTGCAGACAGGATCCCTGCCCCTAAGAATTTAGAGGTTGTGGCACTGATCCTGCAAGCAGATAAGCACGGACATCCAAAGAGGGGCTTTGGTAAATTAAGTGGTTCTTGGAGCTGCTGCATGGAGCCAACTGTGCAGATGCAGTTTGGGGAGATGGGACAGCACTGCAAGCTAAAAGATGGGAGGAGGCAACAGAAGGAAAGATATGGTTACTACTAGGAAACCAAGAGTGTACCAATACCGTACAAAATAAGGAGTTAGTGGAGAGGAAAGAGGAGGACGTAAGAGTAGGAACCATATTCTGTTCTCATTAAGAAATTAAAATAAAAGGTTCAGGAAAGTCTCATCTGCTAATGTGGCATAAGATCATTACTTGAGAATTTGAAGCTATAATGGCATAATGCAGTGGGACAAAATCCGGTATCAGTCAGGAGATGGGTAAATCACCTGTGAGGCTGCCCCTGACAACGATGCTTCAAAACCAACATGAGCTTCTGCAATAGCGTGGGGAACCAAACCCACAGAGATCAGTCCTTTGTGGCAATGGGGAAGAGCTTACCCAAATAAAGCAAACCCAGGTAACAGGACCCGTATGTAAACAAGGCTACAAGAACACACCAGCAAGGCGCAAACAGCAAAAAGGGACACCAGTGCCACTCTCAAAAGGAGCACAAAGATCCCTGAGCTGCCGCTAGCCTGAAGCTGCAAATCAGCCCTGCAGAGCACGAGGGGCCTGGATATCACCATGCAAACGCAGACAAATACTGCCTTTGTGCTGGCACTGGCTATCCCAGAAATTGCTGTCACTGAGCTCCTATGGTATTTTGGATTTTACATGCATTGAGTCAGCTTGGATGTCTCCACATCCAGGTCGTGGTTAATCAGTAATAGGTTTTAATAAACATACCCTTACACAGCCATATTTGGACATGACTGGTATAAGGAGACAAGCATACAGTATGATGCTGGTAAGGAAAATAAATTGATCAATTTAAAAAATAATAATAAAAATCATATTATCTTTGTACTTACCCCACCTCCCCCCCAAAAAAACCCCCACAACTTACGTTCCCAAAAGCTCCTCATGCTTTTTGTTATCCTTTCTCCAGACCTCAATGTCCAACATATCCTTCCTGTCAGAGAAGTAGTGAAAATCAAACCGTTCCCTCCACTGAGGATTTGCACTCTTACACAGTGTCTAGAAAACATGCAGTTATAATATTTACTTTTCTTAAATGGTACTTATTTCCACAGTAAAGCACATATCAATTTTTCTACAAGAACAAGGCCAGATGTTAGGGCATCAAGTACTAAAGTCATTCCAACCAAAGCTCCCCAGCCCATCATGCAGAGCCTTATCTTTCTTAAAAAAAAAAAATCTCTTTCCTCTCTCCCAATAACAAAAAATACACAAGTCTGACATGAATGAATGGCTGGAGAAATTCTAAAATGCAAGATGGATCCACCAGCTCCACTTTCAGCGGACCACAGTCATCATTCAACCTCACTCACACACTGGAAGAAATCAAGAATAAACCTATAGAGGACAATCACCTGAAAACAGGTTTGAATGAATTCAGGAATTCAAACCAGTATTTTTTACCCTTCTGTGTTAAGATATAGGCAAGGAAGGAGCAGCCTTGACATTATTAACATCCAGTTAATTTGATATCTGTAAATTGTCCCTCTGAGTTTAGTGAAATTTGTTCATGTGTTCAGGTTACTCTGAGTATTCACCGGACTGGGATTTAAATCACTTGCAATTCATATCACACCACACTACCCACCATCAATATCAGCGTGGCCACTGAGAGAACAGGAGATAGGATTAGCTGGACCATGACTGAGATTTTTTCCACCTTGTCCACTTTTCTAGACCATAAGAGATCATACTTCGTAAGCTGGATCAACTCCAGGAAAGAACATGAATTACTGCCAATCTGAAGTCTTATTAGGGTGTAAAGGCAGCAGTCCCCAACTTTTGCTGGACCCCAGACAGAAATACTAAGCAATTATCTCACTGCAGATGATGTTGTACTTGACTCCCCATTTTAAACTTTTTAATTTTCTGTGACTGCAAACAGTGCAGTCTTGCAGATTCATGACACAGACCATTAAAGAGAAACATAAAAAGGGATCTTAACAGCAATAACGTATATTTATTCTAAAATAACTAACCCATTTGTTATTTTTCAAAGCTGCTTTCCTAAATAAAAACATTGTATCATGACCTTGGTTTGAGGTCTGATGTGGGAGACAGAGTGCAGGTTTCAGATGTGCCTACATCTGAACGTTATGTTCCGTGAACTTGCTCTGTACCTTTTGTACAGGAGGGGGGTTGTTTGTTTCCTCCTCCTCCCTCCTCTGCATTTCCAGTTCATGGCATGCAGAACTCTTTCTTTCTCAATAGAATATTATTATAATTATAGGCCCTCTACTTATTAGACTTTGGAGATTAAACGTATATCTTTGGGAACCCCATTCCTTTCTTAGATTCCCATTAAACAGTACTGGATATGAGTAAACACAGCCTAGAAGAATAAAAATTCAAATCAAGCCCATAGAATATTATGTGTATTTGGGGGAGATGGATGGTTCTGCTATAAGCAACATATTTTCCAAAAAAGGTGCTTAAAAAAAAAAAACCAACAAACAATTCCCCTGCACTGGGAACCATTTCAGGTCTGCTTTTCCAGCATACCTAACATTGCAAACCTGACTTCTGTATTGGCAGAGAACAAAACACATGTGTGATGCATGTAGCTTTATTTCATTTCATATTAATGTCAAACATCCATCAATATGATGAGTATGCTAAATGCACAAAACCAGATACACACAATATTCCTAACTTCCTGTTTCTATATTGGCACGTAAAACATATTAGTAAAATGTTAACGTCCCTGATCTGGTCTCCTGGTTTTGATCTCACTTATATAAAAGAGATTTAAGAATAGTTCCATCTGAGTTAGCAACTCCGGTAAAAGAAACACCAGGTACCTTATTGGATCCAGCAAACTTAAGGAAATCCTCAATACTTACCTTACTCTTGTATCTTTGATCTCCCAGTTTGAGGAGAATAAAAACCTCTGCCAAGCCCCCTCCGGGGATGTTCTTCCCCTCCAAGAGCGTGATGGTGACCAGCCCGTTCCACAGCTGGTTCTTGCGCAAAGAGTCGGAAAGTCGCACGCTCCGCATGAAACTCGACTGAAAAAGCAATGAAACATTTATGCACCCAAACCCACATTTTCATGCTCAGACTGAGTGCTGTGAAAGCACCAGAAGTGAGAGAGGTGCCACGACCCCCTAGGAGTAAGGAGGGAATGGAGGGCAGAAAGATGCTATGGATTTTCTGTCTGTACTGTACTACAGCTGGCCCTGTGTAGGGATGATGCTCGGCATCAGAGCAAAATCAGCAGGGTTAGCTTAAACCACTGGAGAAGTCGACTTCAGATGACCCGGCTGAGCTTCGCCAAGAGCAGACCTTGAGTGTTGAGAGCAATCTGTTACCTTGGCTCAGGGAAAAACACAGGAGAGTGACAGGGAGGAGAGGTGGAAGAGGGGAGAAACTAAAGTAAGCTCTTAAATGTCTCCAGCTACATCCATAAAATGCGGGTCTGTCCTTTCTGGGGAGACAGCCCACAATCATAAAGTCTACGGCCAGGTGAAAGGCTGAGCACACATCTTCCACCTCCTCAATCACTCAACCACCCATCATCCACCTTAGCTCTTCGCCCGCTGCCTTTGCAGCTCCGGCTTCCAGAAACCGAGCTCACGAATCAAAAATACTGATGCCTGCTGAAAAAACACTGACACCACCGGGCTCTTTATCTGGAGTTATGGTTACCTGGTAGCCGCATTTGTTACCTTCGCAGCTTCATCCTACATAGCATGGCTGCGCTAACAGTTTGCTAACTGGCAATATTTTATTGGACAGAGGATGATTAAATAGGCCTTTATTTGCGGGGAGTGAGCTGGAAACATTAAAACTCAAGGCTATACTTTTCTTCTTGCAGTAAAAATCCCCCCATATTTTATCTTCGTGAAGCAACTTTTAACTCGCCACACTTCGGAGCTTCAATCATGTCATATACAGGTGGGAGCAAGACGGAGGAGAAGATTTCACAAGTCACTTTAAAACAGGACGTGTTAGCTTTAAAAGCAAGTAAGAAATGTTGTTGCTAAATAAAACGATTGCAAAAGCACCTGATGTCTGAAGATTACTTTTTATGGATCAATTACCCAGCAACAAAATTCTTAAATCATGGGTGGTGAACTCACAAATTTTTTACTTGCTTTTTACTGGTTAAAATACCCAACTCTGAATCCCACAAGCATATTAATATACTTCTATTTAAACACCCCGTTTGGCTTTCCTGGCACACTGATTAAAAATTCCTACCTTTAAAAAGAAAACGAGATTTTGATTCATAAATCCAGCTGCAATGTAATTTCTTTTTTTTTTTTTTTTTTTTTTTTTTTTAAAGTTCGTCTTTTAGGCCAAAAAGCTAAAGCATGACTGTTCCCATGGACATACTTCAAAGTCCCGGCAGATATATTCCTCCCTAAACACTGAACTATTTCAAAATCCTTTTTATAAAAAAGGGAGTAATGTCCACAAGGGATCAAAGGGCATTCTACAGTCTGGCAATCGCCTTAGAAAAATGGCAGTGCTTCCATGAAATATGCCCTAAAATAATTTTGCAGCTTGGTATGTCCTAATTTCGAATTGGATGTTTATCTTGGAAAGGCTTCTATCTAACTTGTCCATAAAACAGCTCCACTTAGCTCTATGAGCCCTGTGAAAATGGAATCCAAAGCTGGCTATTAAAGGGGCCTGGAGATTGCTTCCATATGGCGTAACAGCATGGGAGTGGAGGGCTAAGGCCTACAGCAGGCGCTGCTTGGCTTGAGCTCCCCATCTATCCATGGACACTCGTTGCATTACACCATAACATCTGGATTATTGCTTGTAATGTCCCTGGGAAATATCCACTTCCCATCAAAGCCTTTATCTATCTCAGTTGTACTTTGAACATTTTAGTATTTAACATAGTCATGTTTGATGTGATGTACTTGCTGCTTTAGGACCAAGGATTTTCCCTCCCCACCCCACTTCTTCCTCAGAGAAGGAAGAGGTATTTTATGTTAGTTCACACACACACAAAAAAACCCCACCCAAACCCGGACAAAGTTTATTATCCACATTACAATTTCTTTTAAAAACAAAGCATCCAGTTCTCTGCAAAGCTTCCAGGCTGAACACGAAAGACAGTCGTTATCACTCAACTTTCAAATCACATTTGGATTCTCTTCATTTTTTAACAAGACCAGAATTTTAGGGAGTCACTCAGCATTAGGGGTCTTCCTACTCAAATTCTGGAGCATACATAACACCACCCTTTTAGCCACTGACTTCACAGTTCAAAGGACTGTTGGGAGGTACCCAAACCAGCCCAGATTCCATGCAGTACCGGGAAAAATCAGCACCTGCAGCTTGATATTATCAGAGCACATTGCAATGCATCAGCTCTAACCTTCCAAAACAGGTGGCCCCTAGCAAATGGCCTTGTGCACCCCCTTTCTGGGTGGCTGCACGGCTGCAGAAGCACTCTGTGCTCATCTGAGAAGAGGGGTATGTCGGTCTCCAGCTAGCAGGACCTGGCTACTTTCTGGACGAGATCTAGCACCACTTTAGAGCACCACAGCGGATAGAGAAGCCAAGATGTTTGCAACTGGTTTAGGGCACGGTGCTGATCTGCAGCACCTCAACACAGGCTTGATGACTGCAGTCTGCTTCCTACCTCCCCCAGTCCCGTGCTGCCACCACCACCAGCCTCTCTCCAAATGGAGCAGCATGGAGCCCGGGGATGGCTGCTTGCCTCACGCCCCTACAAGACAGCCCGTCACATTAGGAATGTTTTGGATTTCCTGGACGTGCCCAGGTCGCTCCCACAGTGTGTGCTCAGCAGGTCTGGCATGTCTCCTGCACCTTGTATTGTCTACGCACGCACCAAAGACCTGCTCTGTGCAGGCTCTGTGGCCACCTCTCCAGCCTCCTTGCGTACTTGGCAGGCTGTTCCTCTGACCACCCTGATGGAAATCCCAGCCAAACAGGCGGTGTCTCAGATTCCACTCAGTTTCTGGAAGGAAGCATGTCTGGGGAAACCCAGATGTGTGGTAGACCCACAGGCCTGGACCATCAATGAGTCAACTTTAGTGTTGTCTGGGGAAGTCTGCACTACGGAAAATGCCTCCCCAGTGACAAGAAAATGCTATTGCATTATTTATTTTAAAAGTCTTACCTCCTCTCTGATACTCTGCACCTACTCATTTCAAACTGATTTACACAGAGTTAATTGATTAAACTTCACGGCCTCCCTCTGAGTTGGCAAAACTATTACAGAGCAGAGCACAGAGAAGTGCACTCATCAGTCCAACAAAGCTGCTCAGGGGCAAAACAAGCACTGAAAAAACCCCACCCCAAACACTTACACTAACCTGCCTTCACAATGAGACACCAGAAAAGTCAAAGCCCCTCTCTGCACTGGCCAGAAAAGGAGGACATAGCTGCTTAAATCAGTAACAATTTTAAAGTGGTTTTGTCTTTGCAGCTCTTCCCTTTCCCTGTTACCTCCCAGGCTACAGACGCCTCCACACTTGGGTACTTCAGCTCCTCCTGCTGCTCAACTCGAGCTCTTTCCAGCTGTGCTCCCAGACTGGATGCCAGGTCCTTCGGCCCAATCCTGCTATATTTTCCTGTAAACTCTCTGCAGTCAGCCAGCTCACACTCTGGCTAAGTCCCAGACCAAAGTAAAGGTGCCTTGCAGAGGTACAGAAGAGTTGGCCGAAGCTAGGATCAGGCTATAGGGCTGGAAATTAGGAAACATATGCTTTATGATAGAAGTTGGCACATGTCCCGAGCACAAGACATTGGACAAATTTACTTGTTCCTTCCTGTCCGCCCCCCCCTTACTTCTGAAATCAGCATAGCCTTGAGACCAGAATTTGAGGGGTTGTCTCCAGAAAGAGCCCTGATTTTGGCTGGGCTCTGGGTGCAAATAACCAGTGATACCATAAAGGTCACCTTTATGGTAGTTCCCTTCTGTAAAATGGACAACTTGAACAAAAACCATCCCTCAAACAAGCTAGACAGAAAGATAATAGCACAAGAATATCCAGAAAGTTTTACTCTTAAAAAAATAAACTAGGTCGTTCAAAAGTCTAAGAGCCCATGTTTACTGCAGGTTTAGGGATTGTGTAACATCAGGTAAGTAATGAATAATCTCTTCTGAAGCAGGAGTACGGCCCGGTCATAGAGCAGGACCCTGCCACGTGAGGAAAAGAAGATGGTTCTTCTCCCTGCTGCTTAGAAAGAACATTTCCCCTGAAAAAATCCCACATCTCTGAACAGAAAAATTAAAAATCAGTGCTCACAATACCATTTTCAGAATCTGGTTTCTGGTTTCAAAATGAATATAAAAGCTTTGCACACCAGCTTTCAATTTTTTGTCACTTTCTGGCTCTGTTTTAAAGAAGAAAGCTGGACAAGAACGATCAGGTGGGCCACATTCTGCCTTCACAGAGGCACATACAGGAGACAAGCAAGAATGCCAGAGCTTTGGAGGGGAAAGAACTGGCTCGTTGACCCAGCTTCACAAAATCCTTTGGGAACTTGAGTCTCCCCGCTAACACCATTTGTATCTAATCTCCCTCTATAGGCACCCAGCGAATCCCCTCTGGTGCATCACGGCTGCTTTCACATCTGTCTCTTTTCCTGACACACGCATACATGCCCCAAGTTCAAACTTGTTTTTGAAGCAATAAAGAGATGCAGAAAAATTGTACATTTAAATGACACGGCGAGGTGGCCAAGTGTGAAGCGAACCCATCTCTCACATCTTTCATTTAAAAGGATGAGACAGGACAACAGAAAGCCTGCTGCAATCCCTGTGAAGAGGTCAACATCGAAACTGGGCCACGTAATTTGCCATTTGAGAAAACAACAACACGCAAATAGGAAGACTCTTTGGACCTCTCCTCATTAGGCAGGGAAACCATTTTGCAGAGGCAGTCTCCCCCTGGGAAAGAGGAGAGGGCAGCGAGAAAGGCAAGTGAACCGACAGGAGATTGCCGTCACGACGCGTGACCCTGTGGCGAGCGAGCCCCTCCGCTCCGCAGAACGCTCAGAGCACGCCACTGCCCACGGGGTATTGTGGGAGAAAGCCAAATACAATGAGGCAGGCAAAAATTAAACCTAACAGCCCACGCAGAAAGGAAAAAAAAAAAAAAAAAAAAAAAAAAAAAAGGCGAGCAAGGGATTTTCCCCTGTGATGAGACGCTGAGGAGCATTCAGGTCCGGTCAGCCTTTCAGCCAATTTATTCAATCAGCTTAGGCTATCAAGGTGGCAATTGCGTCGCTTTTGTTTCAGGACTGAACTGCTGCGGGTCAATCCACCCCAAGCAAACCTGCTTATCTGATTCATAGATGTTCAACACTTAAAGGTTAGTCAGCTGTACAAATGCTGGAAATAGCACGCAGGGCACTCAGGGTGAGACTCAAGCCACCCGGGACAAACAAGGCTACTGAGCATCAGCTTGTTGGGCTCCAGCAGAGACAGCTACCAACTCCCTCTGCACCCCAGACAGGCCCAGAAAGAAAAACAGAAAAGAGGGGAGAGCTCGCCAATACACAGATACGAGAGCATATATTAATACTACCTAATGGTATCCTCTTCCCTTTGCAATGCTACCCTCCATGAGAAAAAGAAGAAAGCTGTGCTCTTGGAGGCAGTTCCCACTGAGGACAATGCTGTTCTCAGCTCCCATAAAAAATAAGGGATCTGGATGTGCTGCCCATATCTTGGGAGCCCGCCCAAATGTGTGATGATTCCCTTTGAGCAGCAGTGAAAAATATATACTGTGTAATCAACAGATAGCTAAATCATCCAGTTCAACACTTCTTGCACCAAAATGATTTAAAAGACAATATTCAGTTGCTGAAATCCTTCCGGCACACTATCTGTAATGACTGTGAGACAACCATAGACTGGAGATCTTGTACTGCTGCTGTTTTCCTTGTTACCTGAAATGTAGCTTTTTCCTCAAAAAGCAAGCAAGCTCAGAGAACACACATGAAGGAGTGCACAGTATCCACAACCACCCACGTGAACCCCTTTCGCCGGTCTGACATGGGGCTGCATCAGCCATTAATGCCATCAACAGGGGTACTAACCGTTTGGGGTGAATTTGGGAAGCCAGCAAGAATCCAGTGACTGATGTGACATGACCCATTTAGGACGCTGATGTGCCAAATCTGCACTAACGTAACATAAAATGGTCAAATTAGAGTATAACCAGATTTCTTTCATATAGGTGATACAAATTTTTTAAAAAGCTGTGAAAGTTATATTCATTTTGTCCTTCCTTGAAATAAGTAATTTTCTTTGTATTTGTAGAAGAAAAGCTAAATATTACAACACAGGTCAGCTATAGTTCGGTGCAAAAAACCCAAGAAAACCATTTCAGTAGAAAACTTTTATTTACCTAAACCCACAGAGATTAAATTTAGTTCTTTCTCAGTTCAGCTGCTCAAATGGAAAGTATATGGCCTTTTTCTCCTGCAACAACCAACTAGAGTCAGCTCGGTAGCCAAAAGAGACAAGTTTGTGTATCTGTTACAGAGCTCTCTCCATTTCCCCGCCCCCCCTTATTCCCGTTTCTTTATCTCGTCCAGCAACATTGTTTTCTACCCCATCATACTCTCTGGCTATTCTTCCATAACCTCTTGTGCCTTCCCCAGACACCTATACTCCCCGTGCATGCAATTTTTCTTTCTAGCCTTTATGTTCTGCCACAAACTGCTAGTACTGCTTCCACAGACCAGAGTTTCCTAACTAAAGATGGTTATTGATGTACAGTACTAGTGTTTTAGTGCAGTAGCAGAATCAATAAACTAGGAAATACTGCTTTGTCAGATTTTTCCAGCGCATGCTGGGAAATATTTTTACTGCCTTTGGATGGTCACAGAGCTTTTCTTTAGAGATCACACTGGAGCATGAACTGTGTCTTCCCTAGGAAGAACTGAAGCTCTCCTACCCTCTAGTGACTGGAACAGAATAGAGCACAGGGTTGCAGCTCTCCTTTTTTTTTTTTTTGCCTCCTCTTTTAAACAATACTTTCAGTTCTAACTCAGTACCATGCTACAGCATCTCTTAATTTTGTTTTAAAAGATGCTAAGGCACAAGGCCAGAGTCTTGAGAACTGAATGATCTGCCACTATGTCTTAAAGCTAACAGTCCAAAAATCTGTATGTAAAAAAATTATTCAAAATGCAATGGGATATAGGGTACAACCAAAAAAAAAAAAAATCCAGTGACAGCAACCAAGACAGAAGTTTGGCTATTCTGGACAAAAAGGACCAGAGTGTGAAAACCTGGCTCCCTTTCCCAGGACCCAAAGCCAACCAGCGTCAAGAGACAGCTGTGTGTGCATGCGTGAGAAAAAGGGGGATCAAGCTACACTGATTGAGTGAGGGCACAGTAATTTCCAAAGCTTTAGTTAAAAACTAAAATGCTGAGCTCTTCAATTATTCCATCACTTTCTGTCATACGGCATTCAGGGATGCCTGGCGGCTCTCCGTGCCGAGCGCTGCAGGAAGGGCTGCGTTATCCCTGGAACCAGGGCTCGCCAAGCTGCCGTCCAGCTCCAAGGGCTGTACTTTGCACTTCTTCTATTGACAAAAATATGCTTGCTGGCACAATACCTGAGAGGATTGGCTCCTCTACATTGCACGTCACAGTTGTAATGAATAAAACAAGAGGAGGTTAATTATTCAATTTATTTAGGCACAAACCAATAGTTATATAGGGAAAATATCAAGATGCATATGTGTTCTCATAAGAGCCAAATTCTGCTTTTCAGAAAGTTAGACTGTATAATTCTCAAGCTGGGTACTGGGGCCTGCAGTTTCTATATCATTGTTATTTACTCAATAGCAAATTAAAGCTTTACAGAACAAACAAAAAGCCACAGTCTGTTTCCTGAAAAAGTTAAAATCTCATGCAAGAATGGGACAGAAGAGGAATATAAAAGTAATGGAAGCCTGCAGGGATACTACAGACGACCGAGGAAAGCAAGTTATGTAGATACATAGCAACACACAAATCTTGGAAATCCCGTTACGTTGCTGGTAATGAGAACTGCCTGCTCGGTCTCCATCCCAGGAACATAAGGAATTTCAAAACCCACAGGAACAACCAGAAGAAGTATTGCCTCACAAAATTCCTCCTGTGGTGAGAGGTGACCCAATCAATTAGACTGGGATCCAGGGGACCCATGTTCAACTCCAGTTGAACTACTGGCCACCTTTCGGGTATCCTGAAGCAACTAAAATCCTCCACAACTACTTTTTTTTGGTTGAATTTACACCCATTTACTTAGTACAGACAGTTTTTTCTCTCCTTCTACAACTCCCTGCTGAATGGGGTCTTACTCTCGCTTACCACTAGACGCTACCATAGCACCTACAAGAAAACAGCAGCTATTTCTCATCACATTGAAGAAAAATCAAAAAAGCGAAGGGTATCACAGCCACCACATTACAACAGGTTGCATCGACACTTCAGGGTTTACCCTTTGTTTCAGAGGAGGGCACAGATTTTGGGAGGAGACTTTTTTTTTTTTTTTAAGAGAAAAAAAATATGGATTACCTTGGATGAAGTTCGCTTCTTCCGACTTGACCATCGCTATTCATGGGTCCCCACCATTGTACCAAAGAGAACCCAGAGAGAGGAAAGAGAGGAGGAGTAAAATGGAGAAAGTGTTTAGTAAAATAATTCAAACACCAGCTTGTCAAATGTGTTAGAAAAGCTTATTACTAAGTAGGGGGCTGGATCTACGACTGCATTCATCTATCTCCCCTCCTTCATGGAATATAACAATCAACAAACTCAAAATACCTGCATTGCACCAAAAAAAGAGGAAATAAAAAAAGAGTAATCAAGAAGAAAAAGTGGAGGGACCCAGAGCCATTAGTAAGAAACATGGCTTATACTTTTGGTGCCATCTGGTTCTACAGTAAGCTAATTTAAAAAGAAAAAAAAAAAAATCATCTTGCTATTAAGTGCTAATGTGGACAGAGCCATTTCACTGTTCTGATTCCACTGGAAATGGCTGAGCAATTTGCATTTGAAATATGAGGGCTTAAAACATCGCCTTTAAAAAAAATTACAGTGTGCACCAACTCTTCTATCATCTGCACTCTGAATGTTAACTAAGCACCCAGGAGTACCAAAAGCTGTTACTTTAAACCAATGTATTTTCCGCCTCACTGGCTAGGTCCACTTTAGCCCATACCTTCTTAAAAGTCCCAGAATTCCTGAGGTTCTTTTGGATGAACTGCTTTTTTGCTAAAGTAACTTTATGTCTTCACTTCACCCCTTCCTGCAATCCAGTGACATGTGTGGAAACAACACTCTCCTGTACAAGCTAAGAGGGGGAATTCATATCCCAGATCAAAGCCATCTCATAATATAGATATATAAATACAGCAACAGTGTTCTGAATGTTGTCACTAAGCTTTTAAATAATCACATATTGAGGCAGAAATAACTCTACAGTTATCTTAATAGTAATTGAGATTTTACAATTCTCAAAAAAGCAATTATTTGAAAAATAAATAATGAACGGCAGACACCCCACATTAGCTTTTTCTTATTTTGCTTTCCAACCCCTTGAAACATTTACGTTTCTATAAATAATCCCATTCAGACTGGAATTCCATACCTATAATTCAATAACGTGCTGTAAACAGCAACTTTCATACTAGACTATATAGCCAGGATTTTTACAAGCAATCTCTTCCTCTCAGCCTGCGTGCTCCACCGCAGGACTGGTGCAGTTAAAGTTGTAACATCAAATCTCTGCCTTTAGATTTCAGAGATCTATTTTTTCATTGTCATGAGAAAAAAAAGAAAAAATAATAATTGGGGTTTTCTAAAGTGCTAAACTAGTTGGAAATGAGAAAAATAGTATGCTGTGGAATAGGCACGTCAGCAGGTACGGTTCGTACATGCACTTCAGCGACGTGCACGCTGCAGTGACGGACACCACACCCCTGACACACAGAGAGCTCTGCCACAGCGCACGTCACAGCCACGAGACAGAACCATCCAGCGACAGATGTCTAAGCAACTTTTACCCAGTTAAATAGGTGGCATTTTAAAGTTATGATCTCTCTCGATTTCAGTATTGAATCTTGGAGGATGAAAATAAAGGTGGCGTTTCCAAGTAAATCAGATTAGGCCAGCTCTTTCCCCCCCCCACTACACATTCCAGCTATAAATTTGATTTCCTAAGCCACTTACATTTCTCTTGAAGTCTTCTTGCTTGACTGCTAGACTCAAGTTTAAAACAATCACTCCCATGTCATCTTCTAAACTGTTGGGATCTTCCAGTTTTAAAACCTGTTCAATAGTTCTACAAGCAAAAAAAAGACGTGCATTTATTGACTCCAGTTGAGTTCATTATTAAAGGTCACTCTGAGCTGTGCAAATTTCAGCTTCTTGCCTGAAATTCCCAATATTGAGCTTAAATGTTAAAAGAGGAAATCTGGAGGGTTCCTCCTTCGTTCTGACAAAATACACACACACACACCCCCTTTTAATAACACAGCATAGTGTTTATATAACATTGCTTAATACTCATAACTCTCCACATGCAGATACACACCAAATTAAGTTACTACTACCTCTAGTTCACAGGGAAGAAGAGTGACAGGGAAACTCATCTAGGTGAATTTTCTAACATTAATGGCTGGGATTCAACTCCAAAGATACTCATTCTGCCTTGTATCTGCCTGCGTTTTGTCTCCCTCCATGACTCAGTTCCCTCTCTGAAAATGGGAATGCTGGTATTTACCTGGTGGCACTATCTCACGGATAAATTCATTAACATTTCTAGAAATTCAGATACAACAGTCACGGGAGCTATAATATACCCACACAGGGAGAACTCATTTTCTCCAAGAAAAAAAGTCGCACCACGAGGGAGTATAAAAGAGCGAACTAAGACTTGAATTCCTGGCTTCCAGCTCCACATTGAGACCAAGCAGCAGCAGACAAAAGGCGCAGCGCTTGCCTCCGCACTAAATCAGGGCCAGATGAGCTGCCGCGGGGATGGATGGCTGCGGGGGGAGGCTGGAAACGGGGCGCTCACAGCCAGCCAGGCAAACCGCTCCCCGGCCCAATTATACACAGAAAAAGGCACCCCGCACTACGCAGGGCTAAGAAGGGGTCTCAACCTTCTCCCCCCTTTCTTCTTCCACCTCCATAAATTATTCTGGTGTAGCTCTCCCTAAACAATGCTGCACATAGAAACTCTTATTCTTATTTCTAGAATCTCAGGTGATTTCTTTTTTTTTTTTTTTAAAATGTGCTCCCTGCTCTTCTATCAAAATAGGTTTTCATGAGTAGACAAAATCCAAGCTAGAGCACAAGCATTTAATTATTTTTCTATGTTTCTCAATTAAGCTGCCTTAACAACCTTTAATTAAACACATGTATTACCTATTGAGTTCAAGTTCAGTGAGTGCTACAAATGCCGACCCCATGAAGTCTGAAGAGGTTAAATCTCGATCATACACCTGGTAGCAAAATAAAATAAATATTTATTATTTTCACATCATAAGCCAGAATTATCCTGGCCGATAAAAGAGCAGATATTTTAAGCCCTTTCAGTTCAATTTCATATTTGAAAGATCAAAGCTTTGATATAATTCAGGGATAATTTTCTATCTCGGTACTTCAATTTGTTTTTTTAACTAAATATTTAAACAGCATTTTGCAAGTATCTTCTTAATATTATGTAAACAGAGACATGTGTGCTGCTATGGATTGTGCCTGTTCCTTTATGCTCTGCGCGATAGCATAATGAAACGCTGCACAAAAATCAGGTACTTCTGGCTACAGATGTTTTAGCAATTAGCGCTCGCAACTGGTAGCTTGCAGTTCTGGTAACTGTAACGTTACTCATAATGAGAAAAGGCTTTACTACTTGTCACGGCTGCATCCCAGGTAATAATTCTGTTCAACCCAGCCAAATTACACTCTTAAAACGTGCTTATGAAACCGCTATTGGTTTCACTGAGTTTGCACAAGCACGGTAAGAGCAAGCAGAATTTAGCTCCATAGCTTTAAACATATCCAGTCAAGGAGTTTTATTTTAACTTGGGTTTTTGCAGACGGAAAGCAAAACATGCGAGTAAAATCTGGAAAAGACATATGTGCATTTTAATTTGAAATTGCTGAAACTCTTAAACCGGATTGTGTTTTATGTTACACTGCTTCAGTGCCTAAAAATCAATACATTTCTAAAGTTGAAAATAATTGCTAGAAGTTCTCAAAAATCTAAAACCAAAACTTACTTTGATCCAGAGCTTTTGATCAAGGCTCTGTACAGGCAGCACAACAGTTTCATCCCAAACTGGGTTGAGGTTCTTGTAGACTACCTTACTTTTGTAGAGAGTTTTCCCATTCAGTTTAAACTTCACATACGGGTCACTTGTACCTGTGACAATTAATAAAAAACAGATTAGCACGCACCCACATAACCCCACAACCTTGAATTATATTTTCATAAAACAATAAACAACAATAATAAATGGTAATGACTTATTTTATATATACCTGCATATACTTAATTACCCATATAAAAATTGCTAGTTTGTACAGGAAACCTATAGAACAGAACCAGAAAGTTGTTTGAAAGCAGGCAGCAAAAATTCTTCATGGTTTGCTTGATCTCTGCTGTATTATTCTTAAAGAACGTTAATTATTCTTTAGTAACTTAGTTAACATTTTAGTTTGGGAAGAGAGCAAATAGAAGCAGGGATGAAGGACTGTTTACAGGCCAACTAACAACACAGACAGTGGAAGAGAGAAAAATGCAATCCTGTGACTACAAATATATAAAAAGACCAAAACTCAAAAGCATCGTAACTTGGATAGAAGCTCCAAGGAAACCAGTAACAATAGCTAAAATACCCGTCAGGATTTCATTACTGCTGTCACTTGCCAATTTACTTAAAACCAAATTTCAAGTTTCAGTGAAAAAATACTGACATTATTCACCAGCTCAGGATAAAAACCTCACACAGGACAGACTCCGTAAAGACAACAAACAATATTCAGGTAACACATTTTTTAATGCAAGTGGCACAATTTGCCATGGCAATGATGTCCCATATTTTTATGGAGCAGATGTCCATGGACAGAGCATGAGGCTCATGCCACTCGGCAGCAATAGAAAGACTTGCAGCTGTCAAAGGAAAACAGAAGAGGGAATCAACTTTTTATTGTTATTAAAGCAGTGGCATCTGCACTAACACCAACCACCATACAGGACACCATACAAAAGGGGGAAAGAGGTACATGAAGGATTTAACTGGGTGGTTGATTTAGCAATGCATACAGACTGCAAAAAAAAAAAAAACCACACCAAAAAAACCCCTCACAAGCTGCAAATAAGGGAAAGAATAAAACTGAAGTGTAGCACCAGATACAATTAACTGATCCCAGGTGCCGTTCATCTGTCACGCAATATTGTCTGTATTATACTTTATATTTGGAATTAAACTTCCCTCCTAACAGCTCGCTTTCACTAGAAGAACAGCAGCTAATACGATGGTTCTGGCCGCCCCCCAGCCTGCAGTGTGGGCTGCCGGCAGGAAAAGGCCAACTCCTACGCCAGACTTTATATTCAGAAATAATCTGAACCTGTCCTCCCTGGTTCCCACTGAGATACTGGCCGGTGAACGCATGGCTCTTCAAGACAGCCCAGCATAAGACCAATACTCAATCTTGTCAGTAATTTGGTGAAACAGTGAGAATGTGAAAAATCCGTATTTAAACACCCAAAGCTCTGATCAGTGTTCCGTGAAGACAGGCTTAGACCCCCCCCCCCAGAAAAAAGCTATGTGTTAGTATCTATTTGGAATGACGTAGTACTGTGAAGAACTGTACTCCTGGGACATACAGACTTATTTTTAAGAATTACAGAAAGCTTTTATTCTGTATTCATTTCAAAAGGGAAGAGTTGTAGAGTCCTGGCCAATTGTGCACATAAAGGGTGTTTCATTCACAGAAGGAAAATATCAGCTGGTTTTCAAATACTACCTTGCAGCTGATCCTTTTCCTAAGTAGTAATTGTTGAAATCAATCCCTTTTTGTGGAAAATGCTGCAAACTTAAAAAGCAGTTTCTTTTCCTTCTCCTTGAGGAGAGAATAATAACAAGGGCCTGATCCAAAGCCAGGGAAGTCAGAGGGCAGCTTCTCATTGTTTTCAATGGGTTAGGACTAGACCTTTCTCTAGAATACTTCTCAGAACTATGATCATACTCTTATATAAAACGTACAGCTTAAAACCAGCACACGTTCCACAACGAGTGGGAACACACGGGTAAACCATAGCCCCACAATGTGGGCAGTAGCCATGAGAGAATGCAGAAGTTAAGAAATAACAGCATTGTGCTCTTTGGTGTTAGTTTCTTTCAGCTCCTTTAAAAAGAAAAAAAAAAAAAAAAAAAACAAAACCAAAAAAACCCCTGGCTTTTATTTACAGGATAAGAAGGAGCAAGCTGCATTATTAAAAATAACAGTAATGGTAATAATAATGTCCACATCCTATTCTGTGTATGAAATAGCAACTGGCCAAGACAAGGAAAGCAACTGCTGAAAGCATGAAGAGGGCGATGGAGGCAGGTGGTCCATGGCCATAACTCATCTGCTTTTGGCACAGAAAACCCAGGAATGAGGGCAAAGTCTGAAGAGAGAAAAAGAGGAGACAGAGAAAGCAAACAGCCAGCAAGTTCAATATATGCAAGTATAAAACTCCAAGCCCTTTCTCTGAGGATGGGAAGCAAGAAGACTATAGCTAAGCAAGCATCCCAATTGCATTATTTCTCTGAAAGCTTTCTGGGTCCTTATACAGTAAAGGAAAATAGTAGAGGGGGAAGGGCTGCTCAGCACTGCTCATGTGAGCCAGGCTTTAGCAATCCTTCTCATACATATTTTTTTATACATAAAAAAGTCTTCTTTTATATTTACATATATTTATATACATAAAACCGATCAGGCCTTCATGCTTGTCAGCTTACTCTCAAAATAAACATCTCAAACCGGGGCCTCAGTGGTGTCACTTACTCCGGCAAGGCACACTGGGTAATCCCTCGCTATCTTGACAGCTACATAATGTTCAAACTGTTTCACGGGTGAGCGGCGGCACTTGCGCGAAAGAAAATATTAATGCCGGGAATTAATAGAAGAAGGGGTGATGGTTTACAAAAGCCAAACAAGGAAAAGGTGTCAAGTTAGTACCGGCGTTAATTGTTAGGGAAAACAATTGCGGCGGGGCAGGGGTTTCGGCGGCGCTCGCCTGTCTGGCTGTCAGAGGGGTAACATCTCAACTAGGCAGGCGGGGGAAAGGGGTCGGCGGCGCGGGATCATACAAATGACGGGCTGACACCTCCGCGCCAGCAAACAGATGGACTTTCACCTCCGCGGCAGGAGCTGGCGCACACCAGGGCTCGGCGGCATTCAACCAGGCAGACCTGGACGGCCAGGAGAGAAATGATGGGGGTGGATATGGCACCACAGCCCCTTTTGGGGCTTTCAAGGCTTCCCCAAGTTGCTCCTGAGATGTTGACGAAGCTCCTGTACGACCCTGGCTCAATGTGCCCATTTCTGCTTTTCTTTAAGATGCCCCAGGGTTGTGTCCAGGTGATGAAAATAGGTTAAAAAGGAGACATGGAATGAGGAATATGCCAGGTGGACAAGCTCCAGCTGACAGGACAAACAGCACAGAATGCAAATTATTAACTGCATTTGAATTCAAGGCTCGAAGCCCTCTGGATTCAAGACTGGAAAGACGTCTGGATCTGTTAAAAGCTATTTATTAGAGACAATCTACAACCTAGGCAGAAAAGCATAACTTTTCAAAAAAGTGCCTAGTGATTTTAGAGATGAACCGGTCTAAAAAAAAAAAAAAATTTTTGTAATTTTCCTTTAAACATGACAGGCACCTGATAATCTTCTGAAGAAGATGTGCCATTAAAAAAAATAAAAAATTAAAGCTTTTCAGCAGCCATTTCGTAGCGAAGGCAACCAAGTCAACTTTTATGCACCTGCACCCAGGCTCTTCGGCAATGCAAGGTCTGAACCAGTTTGTCTCAGTCACATCAGCTGCAACCACGTGTGAACGGGGTAACTCAGTAAGACTGATTCTTCTTGAAATCAGCTGAGAATTTAGCTTAAGAAAGATACTTCTCTGGTGGGAAAAGCAAGGTGTGATGCTTTGAGGTTAATTTAAGTGTTATGCAATGACAAGAAGGTTCTCACACAGTAAAATATATGGACAAAATATATGAAACAAACAAAATCATCTGCTTCTCAGCCTAAACCAAACCCAGTAAGAGTAAAAAGAAAGGATGACCTCTAAAAAATCACTCCATCAGCTGGACCTGTTTTCTTATTAGAGGAAGGACATGCATCTCATTAGCAATGCTCCCTTGAATTCATTTCCGTAATATCTGTTTTACTTCTGTTTTCTTTCACTAACGCTAAAAAGCAAGGAGTGCAGGCAGATCAAACAACAGTTAAAAAACTGAGCGAGCTTCAGTGAGCAAAAGTTGCTGGGACACAGCAGCAGGACAGGGTTTAGTAGCCCAAGAAACTGTTAATGGTGTTTTTAAATGGATACTGCTGCCCTCTAGCAGCTACTGAGGGGTGTATCGCATCAACTGTTTAATGCTACTACACACTGTTTTAAAATGGGGGGGGGGGGGGAAAAGCACCCCCAAAATATAATTTCAAGCCACACACTATTTTATAAGAGTAAACTTACTGGAAATGTAGCATATGAAACAAGTCTCATTACATAAATAAATTAAAAAGTTACCACCAAATTGCCTTAAAAGCCTGGAAAAAAAAAAAAAAAAAAATCAAAGAACAGTGTGAAATATAACCTAGACCATCTTAAGTTTTGAGTAAAAACCTAAATTTTAATCTGAATAAGGAAATGAAGGATTTATTTTATATGCACATAAAGAATAAATTTCTTAAAATCTTCCTAGAAATAGAATTACTGAAGTTATTTACAACAAGGAGTAAAAAGACACTTTAAAATGGAACACACACTTTTCTTTTTAAGTGGAAAACCGCTATATTCTTGCAGTGAAATAGCTGAGATCAAGCTTTAGAGGGGAAATCAGAAAAAGTATTCTGCTGGCAGGAAATTCAAATAATTTTGGAAAGTTTTTGTGCCCAGCCAGTTTTACACGGCCAGATGGAAGTGAAACATTGCTTGGAAACAAGCATCACCAATAGGTTCCACAGGAAAACAAACAAAAAAACACCTCACCACAACAAAACCCAATAAACCAGAGAGACCAGAGAAGTGCAAAGAATCCATATATTTTGCAGGGGTGGGGTGGTGGTGGAAGAGGGGAAAAAAAACCAAGACAGCAGTGAAAAAGAGTGAACTGAACATTAATAGTATAAAAGAAGGAGATG